ATATTTCATGAGTTCCTAGTTTTTCAATGCTGCATAGTATTTCATTATGTGAATATACCAGAGCTTCTCTATCCATTCATTTGTTGATGGGCACTTGGGTTGTTTCCAGTTCTTTGCTATTGCTAACAAATCTGTGATAAACATGGGTGTGCCAGCTTAACCTAGGCTGCCTGCCTTTCCCTAACTGCCGGGAGAACACTGGAATCGAGTATTTCAAGCAAGCTTTAGCTAGCTGATGCCCTTCTAAACCCAAACATCAGGACTTCCCATTTTCTCACTGTTGAGCTTTGTAGAAAAGCATCACTCTTCTTGGGTGCCTGCTTGATTTTGTGATGGTAACTTATGTCCTCATTAGTTTGGAGGAACCACTGATATTTTATCTGTAGATATGTTTCTCCTTTCTTATCCATGTCTTTCAAGTTTTTGTCATACCTTCCTGCCTTCATTTACCACGCTGTCTTGTTCTGGCATCAAGCTCTCTTAAACACACATGCCCTCCCAACCTAAGTGATCTTGCTGAGGTCAGCTTCACTGGGAATTATTATGACACCTTGTCTCTCCAGTCAGGTCAGAATGTTCCTTGGAAACATGTGCTAAAAACCCAAAGTTTGGCAAAACCACTTTGGAGCAAGAACATGTGTTTTGTGATGTCTATGATGTGGGAACTCTGCAGGACACTCAACTCCAGCCAAGAACAGGGACTCTTTTGGTCTTTTCGGTCAGAGCCAGTGAAAATTCTCCTATGCTTTAATTTGAGCAAAGGATAAGCAAAACTCTTCAATTGAAAACACACAGCATGAAGAACACGGCAACACTGCCACTCTTAACCTTGGGTTGAGTCCTGTGGGCAATGCAGATGTTGACTGTTTGTCAACAGAGCAGATTATCTCCACAGGTTATGTTTCTAATTCATATCTTGACTCTAGGACTTCCACCCATATGTAAAATGAGCTCATTTATAATCAAACTACCCTCGGCGATTCACTGAACTAAGTGGTGCAAATGTGAGCGTTTAATTATAAGAGAGTATAAATTGACCTCTTGAGTGTTGAATCTGGCTTTATTCAAGTCTGAAATTTGGGTGGATTTCCTTTTATATGTGACTGTATTATTCTATATTGA